CGTGTGCTCTTCCGATCTATATTCACTGCAAGTACTGAAAATCTATAACATACGTTACGTGCACTATTTTCAATACTTTTAGTGCAGATTTTCAGCACTGGCAGTGAATATCGGAACTCACAATCAGCCATAGATAAATGTTCTAAGTTTTAGCACTATGTTTACAATAAATGTTCAAAACTACATTCATATTTGATATTGATTTGTTAGATCTAACTCTGTTAGTTTGTCAGATAAAAAGGGATGGCCACTTATACAAGGACACCTTAAATATAGGCGCGCGCGTACACACACACGTAATGTCAAAATTCTTCCCTCCTCCCAACACACAAAAATACTGGAAAGAATCTTATGAGATGCATAAATCATCAGTATTATTAAATTGATTATCAATTTAATATTGTGATATTACTATTCTCAATTGAGAACAGCGTCGAGACCAAAAATCTCGATTCAGTTCTCAGTTAAACCAGTTTGTAGAACTAAAAAAATGTACATAAGATTACATGAACTTTTAATGAGCACCAAGATCCTGTTATGACCGTCGTTGACCGATCTCATAAATCTAATAAGATTCCTTTGGTTATTTTGCGTATAAAAATATTAAGGCAGAATTGTAAAAATCAATAGTTTATGAGATATTTTATATTTTATTTTGACACATTTTGATATAAAGTATAAAATATGTCGTAAACTACTCATTTTTTGGCAATAGTACCTTTTTTGTGCACAGAATAATGAGATAAATCACTTGGTGTAAAGAAAATACATAGTTGTTTTTCAAAAGACTTATGCAATTTGCAAAATACAACTATGTATCATTTTTAAACACTTACCGAATTGTTCAAATAAATAACATTTTTATTATTAAATAAGAGCTGTTTTTAAAAAGTCATTAATCAAAAAAAAGTAAAATTCTGAAAATGAGATAAATATAATCTAAGTTTTTTAATTAATTTTTTTAATTAATTTATAAAAAAATGTAACAAAAGACATGGTTTATATTATTGCATTGCAGTATAAGAAATATACATATTACTCGAAGAATAATTTTATAAATACAAAAACTGGTATTACAGTTTAAACCTAAATACATCCTTTATCGATTTCGCATTATACATTGTGTTATTTATTTCGAGTTATCAAAATATCTCTTAAAAAATATATGGTAAGTACATTACAATACTATTTAAAAAAATAACAGTAATAATATATAATTTTTTGCAGAAAACTGTTTCAATAATTTTAATTATATTAAATTATTTGTATCACCGAAAAAAATAATGTATTTTATTTATGAGTTAAATGGCAATAAAAATTTTTTTTATCTTATCATTATAGGTACTGTATCTTATCATTTTATATAATCATTATAGGCATTGTAAAACATATGTATTAAGGAAGTCCTCATTCTAAGACTAAATCTCAAGTTTCAGTTTTAAATTATGAATTATTTATGCAAATTCAGTCGTATAAGCAATGCCTCATAAGAAATGGGTATTTCATCATTATATAACATCCTAGCAATAAGATCACATGTCTTATTGGATCTCGTAATTTGGAAATTGATCTACGTAGAACATAATTTATATGATTCAAACAAAAGATCACAGAAAATACTCATAATAGAAATTAAAAGGCATATTCTCAAGAGAATTCAGTTTGTCATGATAAAAGTCCAATACGAAAGCCAATTTAACAACGATGATCCAAGCGGTATAAATTATACACAATATTCGATTCATAATTGAGAATATCCAATGATGCAAGAGTAGATATTAAGATGCATTGCCTAAAAAATTTAAGAAAAAAAAACTTCTATCACACATGAGATTTCCTAACAGCCGCATATGTTTTTAAGCTACGTCATGCATGTGACACCAAGACAAATGCGTATTACGACATGGAGGGGACACTAGCTTATAAAACTACGTATAAAGAGAACCTAAAACTCTCCAGTTAAGTTTTTATAAATTTCAACGGTGATCGCGCATACAGTGACTGCTATAAAAGATTAAAAGGTATGAATTGAAAAAAAAAAAAAATATATATATATATATAAATCATTAAGATATATTTCCTACCATTGCATTTTATTCCAGATATTAAGAAGTCGATTATTATTTAAATATGTTGAAGAACATTCGGAATCTCCTTCACATTCTCAGCATAGGTGTCGCGCTCAGAGTGTTACGTGGGCATCCGTACTATAACATATCTTATGGCATTGATAATAGTCAATCAAAGTTGTCAAAATTATTAGGGCTAGGTATTGGAGTCGTGGACATCATCAAGCAAAATCAACATTACATAGATCAGGAAGTACCAGACATGACACCGCAGTTCGGAGAAGCATATGATTTTATAGTAATCGGTGCTGGTACGGCAGGCGCAACCATAGCCGCGAGACTGAGCGAGGTTTCTCAATTGAAGATACTACTGATCGAAGCTGGTTTCCACGAGAGCCTATTCATGGGCATTCCTCTGATCGCGCCCATTCTATCTTTAAATAATAACATTAATTGGAAATACAAAACTAAGCCATCCAACAAGTACTGTCGCGGCATGAAAGACAACAGTTGCTCTTATCCAAGAGGAAAAATAGTCGGTGGCAGCAGTGTGTTAAATTTTATGCTAGCTACTAGAGGTGGCGTCGAAGATTATGATCGATGGGCTGCAATGGGAAATGATGGGTGGGCATACAAGGACGTTCTTAAATATTTTAAAAAATTGGAAACAATGGATATCCCGGAGCTAAAATCGGACATTACCTATCATGGTACCGATGGACCAATACATATTAATTATCCGCTATTTCGTACCCCGTTGGCAGAAGCCTATCTAGAAGCAGGCAAGGAGCTGCGATATCCAACAGTAGATCCCAATGGGAAAAACTTAATAGGATTCTCATACGTGCAAGCTACGATTATGAATGGTACTCGTGTGAGTAGCAATAGAGCGTATTTGCATCCCGTGCACAGTCGTAAAAATCTTCATATGACTCTTCAGAGCACAGTGACAAAAGTAATAATAGATTCTAACACAAATCAAGCAATCGGCGTAGAGTTCGTTAAGTATGATCAAACTATACGTGTGTTTGCGAAGAAAGAAGTGATTCTATGTGCAGGTGCTATTGGATCACCGCAATTGTTGATGCTATCCGGCATCGGTCCAGCGAAACATCTCACTGAACTAGGTATAGATGTTCTCCAAAATGCGCCAGTCGGTGAGAACCTCATGGATCATGTAACTTTTTATGGAATGACATGGACAATAAACGCATCGATAGGTTTCAATTTTATTGATTTAAAACAAATTAAATCATATATAACAGAATTTTTGATAAAAAGGTCGGGACCGTTAACAGTTCCGAGCGGTATTGAGGCCTTCGGTTTTATTAACACGAAACATCCTGAGAAACGTAGCAGTCTACCGGACATCGAACTAGTATTTAGTGCCGGTACATTTAAAGAAGACTTTACATTTCCAAGAATATTAGGTTTAAAAGACGCAATAATTCGTAAATGGAATAAATACGCTGGCACTTACGGCTGGTCAGTTGGATCAATATTATTAAAACCAAAAAGTCGCGGTAAGATAACGTTACTGGCTAACGATGTTAATGTTAAACCAGAGATCGCGCCAAATTATTTCGATGATCCTGACGATGTCGCGACGATGATCGCTGGGATTAGAACTGCGTTAAGAATTGGTCAAACAAAGACGATGCAGGCATTCGATTCTCAATTATTAAACTTTACTTACGTGGAATGCAAAAACTACGAGTATGATTCCGATGTTTACTGGGAATGCATGATAAGGCTATTATCTTCCACACTCTTTCACGCTTGCGGCACATGTAAAATGGGACCTCGTGGAGATCCAACTGCTGTCGTCGATCCCAGATTAAAGGTACTTCCTTGATAAAACGCGCTAGCCAGTATTTATACGATATATAATAAGCAGTATGACATGTGTTTTGTACGATGTATAATAAGCAATATGACAGTGTGACATGTGAGTTCATATACAATGTTTTGCAGGTAATCGGTATTCAAGGATTACGAGTTGCAGATGCGTCCATCATGCCTGAAATTGTATCGGCGCACACAGCGATACCTGTTTTTATGATTGCCGAAAAAGCGGCAGATATAATAAAAGAAGAATGGGGTTACTTATAAGAGTCTCGACGGTAACAACTTTCTATTAAATAATTACTTCGGTTTATTATATTTCTTCTTGCATTTTATAATTGTCGATACGCTGAAAATTACGACAATGTTGATCTCTCTTCGAAATTCATTTATAACTTCAAATCAATAGAGATACGTGTGTAAATGTAATCAAATTGGAATATGTAAAATGTTAATTAAATTATATATGTAACGCATTTTAAAAAATTACAAAATAAAATGTTTTATTACGAATATCAAATTTTGAAATGAACTTTAAAATTGTAAACAATAAAAGATAAATATTAAAGTTTACATCTTATTGATAAAGCCAGATTGTAAATATTATCAAAGTCATTATTAACATTTATTAGGTAATAAAATCTCTTTATTACAAAATATGACTTATTAAATTACAATATTTTAAGTTTTGTTCGACTATAAAAAGTGACTCTTAAATAGTTTTATAAAGTAATTGTGTTATAATTTCTAACATACTCCAATACATTAATTTTTTTTGTAATTAAAAAAATGGCTTCTTTTGCGATATTTGATATTTTTTTATAAAGAAGGTTAATGTTATCTTGAAATTTCGATCAGGAGTCATGAATGTTCATCCCCTACAAAATGCATTTTTTTTATTTCAATATCTTACTTTTTAGCCATGTTATGAACGATTAAAGATAAGAGCTATTTTAAATATGGGGACTCCGGCAGCGTAATATGTGTATGCGAATTAATTTCTTAGGGTCACCTTTTGAAAACTGTATTTATTGAATTGAGGATTATAAAAGGGGACAATAGAGCAAAGAATGATAATAAAATGAGTAATTAATGAATAAATTAAAAGATCGCATAGTATATAAAATGGGATAATTTTTTGTACAGTTAATATAATTAATAATAAATTTCATTGGAGGAATTTAGCAATTAGTGGGGATCAAAAGTGAAATAGAGCGATTCGTAATTTAAAAATAAGAAAAGTGTTTTAATACATATGGCGCTGCCCATATTCAAAATAGCTCCTATCTTTAATCGTCCATAACATGGCTAAAAAGTAAAGTATTGAGGTAAAAAAAATGTATTTTATAAGAAATGAACAATACGTTCATGACACCTGATCGAAATTTCAAGATAACGTTAACCTTCTTTATAAAACAAATGTCCAATATCGCAAAAAAGCCATTTTTAAGTATTAAACCTCAATTATCTTAGAAATCTGACGTACTAGAATTTCTTCGCTTGCGGCATTGTTTTCAGCATTTAAAAATTTATAAGACACGTAGTCCGTCCAAGTAATTTTTTGCTGTAAACTAGTGTTATTAATGCGGTAGACTCCCACATCTATAAGATATATGTTTCCATTTTAATGGAATCATTTAGATATGTTGTATATGAGGCATTATTAAGGAAAATGTATCAAGAAATTATGTAATTTGCAACTTTTTTAAAAATCAACTATGTATTTTTTAATAAATTTATCTTATTATATTCTATGCAAAAATAATAATTAATAAATATAGTACCAGAAAATTAATAATTTACGAGATATTTTATATTTCATGTCAAAATGTGCCACAATAAAATATCTTGCAAATTATTAATTTTTTAAATTTAAATTTAAAAAAATTTTTTTAAATTTATCTCATTATATTCTATGCAAAAACAATAAATATAGTTACCAAAAAATTAATAATTTACGAGATATTTTATATTTCATGCCAAAATGTGCCACAATAAAATATCTTGCAAATTATTAATTTTTTTATAACTTCAGCATAATTCTAGCCTAACTCTAATCGGTATTTGCAAA